TTGTATCTCCCACGCTCCTCAGGAGATGTAAGAAAATGTTTTTCTCCCTGAGCCTGGCCTTCATAATTCCATTCCATCACACAAAACCAACAATCAAAGGATTATGACTTTAAGGGAGTTGTTAGTCAGCAGCTCAAGACATCTTATAATAAGTGAATTCTCACTGGCCTCACTTCTGACACCCAGTGTCCTGGTAATAGCAGGAAATGCTGCAGAGAATTTGCACAAATGACTTTAGGCATTACAGTATAGATAAATCCAATTGCTAGCAGGTCTGAAGAACAACTTCAGTGTTCTTGCATTTTTGCTGGCAAAGAGGGACAGAAGATTTACATCATGTTTCAATTTACACACTGGAGGCAAATAAACAAAAACTTCAAATAATAATAGAAATGTTTGCTGCATATTTTGCCTCTATGAGGAACATTACTTTGGAGAGACATTTTTTTTCCCCATAACTCAAAGAGTACAGGAGAGTGTTGATTTGTTTGCTTATTTAATCAATGTTATGGAGTTAAAAAGACTCAAGCATGTGGATTTGTAGAATTCTCTGAGTCGCTTATAAAGGAGAAGAATGAATGTGGCATATGTTCAGCCACCCTGCAAGAGAGACTGTTGAGAGAATGTGACATGACCCTGGATAAAGCAGTAGATATAGCCAGACCCGAAGAAGACTTGATGTCTCACGTGCAAATATTGGATGCCTCTAGGAGTGAGATAGATACCTGCAAGTTAGCATAGCTTTGAAGCAGACACCGTATGGGGAGTTTCTAGGCTGCAGAAATCTGCAGATGTTCTAGCTGAATCAACAGCCAGTAGATTTCCAGTAGAGTGACAGACAGTAAGTTTACATGCAAATATTGGGAAAAAGTTCATGCCCCAAGAGATTGCTTAGCATTTGGTGCTGCGTGTTAGAAATGTTCTGGCAAAAATAATTTTGAAAAAGTGTGTGCAGCAAAGCAAGTCCCAGTCAGCAGACAAAAAGATATAAATATGTTGTTTGTGGGGTCATTATATTCAGAATATCAGACATGCCAAGTAAATGGAAACAGTTGTGGCATGTTAGTATAGCTGTAGCTAGAGTACCGGTGCTGTTTAAGTTAGATATGAAGGTAATGTTTTTCCTCAACAGGTAGCAAAATCACTGCCAAGGTTGGTGCCAAGGAAGCATCCCTTGGTGACCCTGGTAGTGCTTGGTGGATCATGTATTAAATCAGAACTACCTGCCATTTCTCTACCTGGCGCATCAAAGTATTCAGTGGTCAAAGGCACATGCTAAATCTGTTATATACTGGCCAGGCATGAACAAGCAGACTAAGCAATTCATAGCAGTCCACAGTCAGCTCCTCCAGCACAGCAATGCAAGAGAATCTATGCTTTCTCATGAAATTCCTAAATTACCTTGGATTGAAGTTGCTAAAGATCTTTGTGATAAGAAGTTTTTCTTATCTAAGTATAGATAAGTACCCTTCTAAGTACCCAGAAATACCAGACTTGGAGGATACGTTCTGTGCTGGAATTACTGCCAAGTTAAAATCTGTATTTGCATGACATGGGATTGACCTTGTTTGTGACCATGTCTCTTCTGCAATTCAAGCAAGGAATTTACACACAAGTGGGGCATACAGACCGTCATTCTAGTCCTACTTATCCCCAGTCCAATTAGCCAGTGGAGAAAATGATTCAGATAGTGAAAATGATGTTGAAAAAAGATCTTCTAGATGGCACTGATCCACACATTGCATTTCTTCACTTGAGGAAAACAGTAGTGTTAGGGGCTCCTTTTGCTCCCTCACAGCTGTTAATGGGAAGGTTGTTGAGAACTACTGTCCCCCCTCCTGAGATTCCAAAGGGAGGACATTCTAGCTTAGTCTCATTGCAACATTGCCAAAAGCAGCACTATGACAAAGGTGCAATTTCTCTCTCACCACTGAGGGTGGGTGAATGAATTAAACTCCAGCTTCTGTTGTTCAAAAGAGAGAGTCTTATGTAGTGGAGATTCAACAAGATAAGAGATATCAAAGGAATCAAAGACATCTTAAACAAGGCCTCAGGTGAGGCCCCATAGAGGTGGTTGCATCTCCCAAAATCGGCACAGAAGGGCCAGAGGACTTGGCCCAAGATACACCACCTGGAAATAATTTATCTCAAGCTCAGACAGCTAATTTAGTTCCTGCACAGACACAAAGTGGGCAATAGTGAAGCTACCCTAAGGTTTCAGAATTATGAAACAGGTAGTGTAGTAATAAAGAATTCCACTATAGTAAAATGAATGTAATACTTAACTTAAAGTTTAAAACTTAATTAAAAATGGTAGATTAGTTCCATTGAGGTATTTCTCAAAATGGGAGGATCCAGCACAAAGGATTATGCTTTTATGGAGAGCCATTGGTCAGCGGATCCTGTTAAGGCAACTGCCCCTAATAAGATTAATTTATGTCATATATATTGATGGTATCCCTTTTGGAGGTACTGACTGTTGTTTTATGTGTGGTGGTTGCCACGTGTGCTTGGCTGCCTTTTTGTGAATAATAGGCTTTGTTTGCCATCCAGACTGACTCAGCTGTGGACATTGGACCTAAGAAGGGGTCACGGGGTGGTGCTTGGCTGGCAAATGCTACATTCACAGGACTCGAGTGGTACCTCCCCTCCCCCATCATGCACAAGGCCTGATATTCGTAAAGCCATTCTCTTCTTCCAGAGGTTGGGAATCACATTCTGGTTTTTAAAAGTTCTATGCATACAAATATCAAGAGATCAACAGTCCTAGGGCTAGAACTTTTAAAAACCACTGCATGATTTTCAACAACCAGATCAGGATTAAGCCACTGCAGTTTGGGATGCCAAGCATCCAGCACGATGCAAAACCTGAAGCGTGCTGCAAAGGGCTTCCAGAAAGACTTTGAGTGGCTCCTCTGGCAAAGCACTAAAGCTCAGAAGTCCGGTGGTGGCAATTGGCAGTTTGCTTTCCAATTGGTAGATGATGCTGGGTGGGAGGGAAAGGAAGACAGGGTTTCTGCCAATTGCTGCTCTGAAGCTAGCTTACATTAACTGTGTGCAGGCAGTAACACTAGCCTGCCCCATTGCTGAATCATGGTGAGGGAGGCTGCGGGGGCAGCACTTCTCATACTGACATGCTTTCCTCCTGACTTAGGGACAGGAGGAAAGCATATTACTTCAGGAAGAGCTATTGGTGTTCCATAGTATAAAACCTGATAAATGGATGTGGTTAATAGAGATAGGGCTAAATACTGATCCAAGGCGGATAAATTATTCTGACAAAAACAATTCTTCTTACTTGTTAGTAAAAGTACATCTCTACTCATTCAGAAAACAACTACTTGCCATATTTGTGTGATACTCATCGCAACAACCTCATTCTGCCAGCATAGGCACTCTGCTGCTATAGCATAGGCTGTTTTCTCTAGTTTGATGGTTTGTAACTTCAGGCTTCTTTATCTTTCAGAAGGGGCTCCAGTGTGTCACTGGTATTGGACATGAGTTCTCTGAGCAACACTGAACCCATTTTGCAAGTCTCTACCCCTAGAGATGTCACAGTGCAGTTTTTGAACACTGCCAGTCATGTCCTAACACAGAAGATGCTCCAGGAATGGAGCTGCAGTCTGGAAGAGCTTCAAGAGGAGTTTGCGGTGAGATTCTCAAAACTGCCTACCAACTGCCTGATTTGATTCCAGACTAAGCTCCTCCAGTAGCTCAAATCCTTGCTGCTCCCTCTATGTCATTCCCTGTATGAGTGGCAGGAGCAAATAGCCAGCTAGAGAGGGCTGGTAGAGAGGTATAAGAACTGTGGCTCTCCCTTGGGCATCTGCAGAAGCTTCCCGCTTTTGTCAAAATGATGAAAGAACTATTACACTGTTGTGTTGCAAGGACCACCCCTTTAGGGCATGTGTGCAACATCCTGATACACATACAGAAGGGCCAGGGCTTGCAGCACGATGGAGCAATGCTGCTTTTGCCATTCTGACCCCCCTTCACCAACCCCCATGGATACTGCTGGGCCCTCCAAATGTATCATATATAGGTGACATTGGGAGCTAGGAATGCTGATTATGTCAGAAACCAACTACCACTTAGTACCTAGCTCGAGTAGTGTAAAGCAATGTCTTTAAGCCATGGGAAATGTAGGAAAAGGAAATACTGGATTGAACTGCAGTACATACAAAAAGGAATTGCATTCTCATATTCACAATCAACTGCTTAATGTGGCTTCATCCTAGTACACAGTAAAGATTACTAGCTGCATTGAGCTGAGAATCTGAGTAGGTTGTTGTTGTTTTGTCCCTGCCTCCTTTTTTCAGTGGAATACTGGCATGGCACTCAGAGGCCAAGTTTGACTTTAATATTACTGTCCTGATTTATACTGAGACTGAATCAGATGCTGAATCAGATGCTGCATCAGATGCTGCTATCTAAGATCCATGGCCATGGACCTTAGATAGCAGCATCTGAGCAGAGCAGTCACCCTGAGTTATAAATTCTTCCCCATCTCCTTTATATAGAGCTGTCCTCACTGGGAAGGTGGGACTGGGAAATGAATTTAGTAATTACCTTTGTCTACTTGAGAAGATAAAAGGCACTGATGGTCTTGTTTCCAACTACCTGGGTACCCTTCAGAAAGGAAAGTAATTCAGCAATTCCTCCTCTTCTCCTTAACAGAAAATCCCCTCAAACTTCATCAGTCCAGAAGAATTCAACATTCCTGGACGGGCAGCAAAGGATAGATACAGATCCATCCTGCCAAGTATGTTTACTTTGAAATCATCTTTGAATAGGAAGAGACTGGGATTGGGAAAGGAAAACAAAGTCTGTACACTACATTCCCACTTGAGTTGTGGCTCCAGATTTATATTGCACAATATACTGTAGGGCATGCCTTCTGCAACATTGGCAGTCCCCTGTTTTCTGTAGGATCTTATGTCAAGTCTTTTGAGGATGCCTGGTTCAAATTCTGATGCTATCATTGACTGAGAGTCAGTGTTTTTATGACCAGGTGATAAAATTCCTATTTTAGGCTTCAGAAAATATATGACAAAAAACATATACTCAGTGGGATAGGCATTTTGAGACCCCTGGCGGGGGTCTATATATCATACTGGGTGGGAAGTTTGGGGTGTTAGTCCAAACACTTCTGGAGAGTGCTCAGTTGGACAAGCTGAATGTAGAGTAATGAACTGAAGAAACCTACCACACATGGAACATCACTGTAGAACATGGCATAGTTACAATGAGTACTTCTGGATGGAGGTCCTCTAACACTACCAGTAAAAATAAATTAGGTAGCTATTAGTCAGAGTCACCCACTGGGGGAGATGGGCGGCATACAAATTCAATCAATCAATCAATCAATCAATCAATCAATTCCCTTGGGTATGAAACACAGAAGAAATGGTGGGAAAACATGGGAAGGTTCTAAGTAATAGAAGGCAATATATTCAAGCAGTAAATTCCATGAATGAGGCGGAGTGATTGCACAGTAAAACTTTCATCTGGAATCACACTTTCTCTCTAGTGAAATGTCTCAGAGACCTGGAAAAAAGAAAGAAAGAAAGAAAGAAAAGGTTAATCCCATCTAGAATGCCTTGAACTCTTTAGTAGAATGGTGAAAATTGAAATATAAATATAATAAAGCAATAGTTTTCATACTCAAATATATTTGAGCCTTGTGTGTTATTTTTGACCCATGTTGTAGCTTCTTCCCTTTCAGTTCCAGGGTTTCAACAATTATTTATTGCCCTGAGAAGCACTGAATGCTTAAAACCATTATAAGTTATAGAAAACCTGTCCCTACCACAATCCTCTCAAGATAATTTGAACTTCAGTTCCCATTATCCCCAGGCTTGGCTGGGTGGAAGTTATGTGAGATAAAGTCCAAGATACCTAGAGGAGCGAAGGCTGGGAAAGGCTGCTTTTGAAGCTGTGATATGGTAAAATGCAAAAAATCCTACAGATGTATAAGATTTTCTTGTGGATGCTACCTTTCTTGCACAAGGCTGTGAAGGAGAAAGTAATTCAGTGCTAATGAAGTGAATAAAATTTCCAGTGGGGCCACTTTGTTGTGAGATGAGGTTTAGGAGAAATAAGATAATAATTCTAAATTTTTACTTCTGAGTGGAACTATAAAAGCTCTAGGCATCAGGAAAAAAACCTGGCCAGGTTCAGCCAGGCATTTAACTACACTTGTGTTCCTGGTCGTATGGTTTTTGTTGTTGTTGTCATCATCCTTGTTTTAAAATATAGGGTTTTAAAATCCTTTTTTATACTCCTGTTTTGAGATTATTATATTTATAATGAAAAGTGGGTAATACATTTCATAAATAAATAAATGCACACATCAAGGCTGGCATAACTGATTAGAAGGGACACAAGGGCAGAAAAACAAGATGAGTTTCAAAGCCATCTTTCTGTGGAATAGTTTGACCCACCTGATAGGAGATGCTATATTAAGCCCTTAGCTGCCTCATCTAACTAAAATATTCCTCTAGATCCCCAGAGTCGTGTCTGTCTCAAGAGTGTCAACTTTCAAGAAGAGGAGTCTTACATAAATGCAAATTACATTCGGGTGAGCCAGGGTTATCTGGAAGTGAGAGTACCAAAGATGGTGGCTGTGGTGTGTCTTGTTCATAGTTGTTATTTCCCTCCCACTGTCTAGGGTTATGCTGGGCAGAAGAAGGCCTATATTGCCACACAGGGACCCATGCTAAATACAGTCAATGACTTCTGGACAATGGTGTGGCAAGAAGAAACTCCACTCATAGTTATGCTCACCAAACTCAAAGAAAGGAAAGAGGTGCTGTTGCACATACGTATATCAATTCTGATTAATGAGAAGTTTCAAAGTTTCCAGTGTTTATCCAGGGTTCTGTGTCCTTTGGAAGAAATTGCTGGAGATCAGTCCCATTGCTATGGTACAACATCTGTACACAGACATATGCAAGTTAAGCAAAATATGCAGAAACCTAATAAAGGATAAGCATCTATAGCGACAGTAATGTCATGGTGTACTGTGGCTATAGAT